CACCCTCTATTGGCCCCACTAACACCTCTTCCAGCAGCAACCTTAATTTTTCCCAGGAGGTCTCCTATCCAGGTACTGACCAGGCTCACAGCTGCTTAACTTCAGTGGGCTGCCAGCTGTGAGTAGGAGGGTGATATGGCTACTGGCACAAGTAATGCCAATTTAAATTTTACAGGGAAATTAAAACCAACATTTTTGCATTTGCATGAATTTGGATTAATGTCAGTGGTTATGAAGCCAATCACTCAATTCAAAATGTAACTTTAGATCTAATTTAGAGAACACCTGTTGCCCCTGGCTTGTCTGATCATTACATTTTAATAGATCCTGAAAATAGATCATATTCATGTAATTACGAAGAGAATGTCATCGGTCTTCTATGTTATTGCTAGACGTTATTTATACAGTATATGGCTGGTATTCATTTTGGTTTTCTGTCCGTGGTTAATTTTAATATAGAATTGTAAGTGATTCAGTGAAGACTCCGGTTCCCCGCGACCCTGAACGTAATGAAGCGTTTAGAAAATGGATAAACAGATGATGTACTTATACAGCTAAATTCAATTTTATTTTTTTTCAAATATAATAAGAAAGATGAACGATCATTTCTTTAGTAGGGTTCATTTTTTCTAATGGTTCGTCGGTACTGTAAATATTAATTATCATATTGTGTGGTATTTGACGCATGTTTTTTAAACACGTTAATGTTTTTCATGAACAGCAATGATTTCTTATAAAACCTTAATATAGTACTCCCGTAACAAAATCCACCTGTTTTTGCTGGATTACTCGAGATTACCAACACAATTGTTTTGTTTGTGGGTATTGTAGTTCTAAAATTTGACACCGTCCTATATAGCAACAAGTTATTAACTAAAAAAGACTACGACTCCCATAAAGCACTTCTGAAGGCTCACACTGTATCTGCAAAGTCTCAGATGCACTTGAAAGCTGTTAGACTCCTTAGTGCCTGATGGGGGAGTGAAACCACGAGAAATGATCTCATTACAGTATTATAATGATATTTAAATAGTGGGCTCGCACGTATAGTTTATTTTAACAAGGTCTTTCCATAAGGGGAAGCAACACACTGGCAGGAAAAAGAGATCATCAAATAAACGGTTTCAAACGGTTCGCTGCTGTCAGGATTACAATAGGATGGTAATTAGAGTTTACATCGCTTCTTCGTCTGGCTCTGTAGCGGTGAGTGCAACATCAAGAAAATGGATTTTTATTTTGCTTTAGTTCAACTTTGGGAGTTATATCATTTTAAAGCTGCGAGTTACATGGATGACCCTGCATATAAAGGCATAATGGTGGAGTCTGCTGAACTACAACATTTGTTTAACTACTATGTCGTGTGGTACCCTTCAAAATATTTCTTTATGTATGCATATAGGATATCGCATTTTTGTGCTTTGCGTATGAGAGAGACAGGTATGCAAATTAAGTATAATAAACACCCCATTCTGTAGTTAAGATTGCGCTTATGAAATCTAAATACTGCAGAGTAGAAGTCCTGGGAAAAAATAAAGTAATTGCTGGCGATCTGTTCTTATTGATGACACTACTGTAATTCCAATAGAAGGTGTTTTTTTAAATAGTAAAGAAAATGAATAAGTAACCAGAAATTACACTTAATAAATTAATATTCCATCTTGAAATGAAAACTTAACGGAATTGAAACACTTCAGTGTTTTAGGGAAGATCCACGTCCACGTTAATAACCTCTACCTACAGTATTTCAATGTGAAATAGATGTCAGGTTGTTATTTTTCTGAAAGCTGCGCTTTAAAGTAGAATTCGAATTGGTTAAAGGTTAATTTGTAAAGAAATATGTCCGTCGTTCTCTCCAAAACTCAAAACCTTGTCTTGATGTGATGTATTTGCACACTGATCTAGACAAACCTCTATAATCGTAAAGGAACTTATTTTAGCGTTATAGAAACGATAAAGTTAAACTCGCCAATTACAGTAAGTTGCAGAATATAAGGGTACGACAACGGGGTGGTTACCGGTCAGTGATCCGAGTTCAGCATGAAGGGATACGAAGTCTTTATTGTTAATGATAAGCACTTAAAAAAAACGTTTTGTGTTTATCCTAAACTGATTTTATAGCTCTGGTCTGTTGTATCTTTCCCTACAATTAGCCACTGCTTAATCTAATCAAAGATGTTGTCTTTTCACATTTCAGTTAGCATTGCATTATTCTAGCAAGGAGTCGGTATGTGGTAGTACAGCAAGTGCTGTTCCGCTGAAACTAGTGTAGATACAATTCACATCTGAAATTGTTTGAAATTTCTGTGATTTGTTTTGTTTATTCGCAGATTCGTATTTCTACAATAATAATTTCTTTTAATTTGACCACTGTAAAAAATGACGTCATTGTTTTGATAGACGTTAATATTCCGTAACATAAAAAATATCATTTTGCTCACTTTTGAGAAATAATGCTAAAGTGACTGGAGACCCCCATGTTATTGTTCATGTAAGGTGCAAATCATCGGTGCCTTTTGCACGGGAAACAAAATATGTGCAAAACAGGACCGTCTTTTAATTGCAGTGGCAGAATACGCCCTTTTTTGCAAAGCAAGGTCCAAGGTTGTGTAAACTACAGTCTGCTTGTTTGCATAGTTTTCGAAGTAGTCATTTAATGTAGTACTAGTGATTTATGTTCTTTGGATACCAATGGAAAACATTAGCATGGTATTTTGTTTCGGGAAAAAAACAGAAACATTTGAAGTGAATGCTTAATGTCAGATAATATATACAGATTATTATTTCCCCAAAACTGTTGTCTTACCTTAATTAAGGAAAGTACAGACATTTGACCACATTTTAGTATTTAACAGATATTTTCCCCAAGGCATTTTACAACGCAAATCACCAACAAATGGATATATGGAGTAGAATGGATAATGTGGACTGTAACATAAGGAATGTAGAGTAATTTAATTAAATACAATGGCCAAAACTATGTACAGACATTAAATTAACAAACTCCAAAAATACAGTCTGCAGGGCCTGAAAGCACAAAATACAATGTAAAGGTTTGGTTTCTAGGACATTGGGTCTTCAGGCAACTCTAGCCAGAGTTTTCAGAGTTTTCCGATTCCATCAGAGGGGTCCAAGGGGAGAGTATCAAGGTGACATGAGGCAGGAGAGTGAAAGAGGAAACACTACTAAAGAACTAGCAAAAGTTGAACAGAGAAGATGAGCCAATATACTGTAGGAACATAGGAGGGGATGTTACAGGGATGAAGAAAATGGCAGGTAGGACAAGGATCTTTTAATCCTTTGTGAGGATAAATAGGTTAGCAGTGCAGAGAGCACACAGCTTCTTTCACATAACTCCTGTGTTGTGCATTTTTGTATAACACACTCATCTTCATACATACTATTAGTTATTATTTGTATGCTTTTTTTTATTTTGACTGAGCAGAAGAAGTGTGCTTCATACAAGTATTCCCAAAATAGGATGTCGTTTTTTAATGAATGATGATGATGGGGTAGAGAGGAAGGACATTGCCCTTTTTTTTCCGAATTATTTCTGTTTCATCGGTTAAAAATAAATAAACCTGACCACAAAATAATTTTGGCATTATTTTGTAAAAACATGATTTATCACTTCACTATGGATGTAAACACAAACATGGTAGTAGTATAGTTCAGTATCACTGCAATTTCGGGGTTAGAAATGGCATATGAGCAGGGAAGAGGGATGTGTTTTAATTTTCTTTCAATGTAGCATTAATGCAAATTGAATATTTGAATACATTTTGCTTCAGTAATTTGCTTCACTGGATGATGCTCATGCAAATAAGGTGTGTGAATACTTAAGAATTCAATCAATATAAAAAACAGGTAGTATTTTTAGTACCTTAGGACACCTGATTGTCCTAAGGTACTTCCCTCTGCTCGTTAGTAGCTTTACACCCTTCATTGGTGAATCGTTTAGACACAGCCAATGGATAGCTTTGGCAGCCATACCCATCTCAAGATTT